TTCGGATGTTGAGCTCGAGGATGTGGAGTTTGAGCAGACGGGCCCCGCTCTTTCTCTCCCTCCATCTCCCGAGCTCGCTCACTCGCCGGTAGAGTTTGCTCATGATTATTTGTGTCCCAGCCCGGGAGCACGCGATTCTGTTTCTTTCGGGCTGGAGGACGTCATCTTTACCGCGGCTTCCGACTCCGAGGATTTCGGGCCTGCTCTCGTCGATGACGTTATCCCGCCTAGCGGCCAGGAAACGCGGCCTACCGCGGCCTACTCTGAGCTCGTGGATGTGCTTTCGCGCGCCACGGAGAAACTCTCGATCGACTGGCCTGACGAGCCTCGCGAATCGCAGTCTTCCAAACTCGACGAGAGGTTTTTCAGTGGCCCTAATTCTAGGCCCAACGGAGAAAATTGCCATTTTTCAATGATCTGCATCGGGAGATTTCCAGATCCTGGAAGCAGCCTTTTTCTTCGCGTCTCACTAATGCATCAGCTGCTGATTTCACCAACCTCGTGGGTTCTGTGGAACAGGGCTACTCTGCCATTCCGGCTATCGAGGATACTTTGGCCAGCCATCTTGCTCCATCGTCGGCGCCATCTTGGAGGGCACGTCCTCTCCTTCCATCGAAGGCATGTAGAACCTCTTCCTCTCTCATCGGGAAATCCTACATAGCGGCTGGTCAGGCAGGCATGACCCTTCACACCATGGCCATCCTTCAGGCCTACCAGGCCGATATCCTTAAAGAGATGGATGAGGGTAGTGGTGTCACTCCTGAGGCTGTGAAGGAGCTGCGTAAGGCCACGGATTTGGCCTTGAGGGCCACCAAACATACCGCACGTGCGGTGGGCCGCTCTATGGCTGGCGCGGTTGCTGCGGAACGCCACTTATGGCTCAACCTCACTGAAATTCGCGATAGAGATAAGGTTTTCCTCCTCGACGCCCCTATCTCTCAGTCAGGTCTGTTTGGGGAGGCGGTAAATACGGTGGTTGAGAAATTCCGCTCTTCCAAGTCTCAATCTGCCGCTTTTAAGCAGTTCATGCCCAGGAGAGTTAGGGAATCCCCCGCTCCCTCCCCTGCCCGAAGACCTAGAGAACGCTTTTCTCAGGGAGCGGAGTCCTCTTTCAGGAGGAGTGACCCAGCGCGTCCCCCACCTCCCACGGTTTGGGGAGCCAGCGGTCGCCCGTTCCCTCGTCAGCGACCTCATAAACGTGTGCAGCTGAAGCGATCCGACAAGCCGCCCGCTCCAGCTGCCTCGTCCCGCTCCTGACCCGTTGGTCGGGAAAAGGAGAGCTCCTCCACAGGCACGAGGTTGGGACAGACCGCGCAAGCGTTTCTGTCCACCTCCAACCAGCTCTCCTTTTCTTACCCTGTCTCCTTCGCCACCCTGGGTGTTTCGAAGAGCAGGCCATATTTCACCGCTTCTACGCAGCCCGGTGCGAGAGGAAGGAGACACCCTGGGTTTTCTCTCCTCTCCCCCGACACTCTCTTTGACTGCCGGTCACGTCCTCAGAAACGTTCTTCCTTTTTCTCTGGAGCAGGCAGGCCCGGTCACCCAGACCTCAGCGTTAGCACCTCTCATCGCGTGTCAGGACGCCAAGGGCTCTCCTGCACGGCCAACCTTGCAACTCCACGGCCTTCAGCACGACACCCTCACTCAGGTATGTCATTTGCATTGCAACACCCCTCTTCCTCTTTCACATTTCTTTCCAGAATGGGAGCGGTTACAAGGGGTATCGCCGTGGATTCTTCGCACAGTTCGGTTCGGCTACACTCTCCAGTTTTGCCGCAACCCCCCTCGGTTCAACGGGATTTTTCCTACTGTAGTCAACAGCGCCACTCAGGCTTCTGTGCTACAGCGGGAAATTTCTTCCCTCCTTCTCAAAGGAGCTATAGAGGAGGTTCCTGCGGAGGAAATCGAACAAGGCTTCTACAGCCGTTATTTCCTGGTTCCGAAGAAAGGCGGCGGCTTGCGTCCCATTCTAGACCTCCGCAGACTAAATTTCGCCCTCTTCAGAGGGAAATTCAAGATGTTGACGTTGAAAGCCATCATCTCTCAGATTCGACCAGGAGATTGGTTCGTGACAATAGACCTCAAGGATGCCTATTTTCACATCCAGGTCGTGCGGCGTCACAGAAAGTTCCTCAGGTTCGCCTTTGGAGGGAGGGCATTCCAGTACAAGGTCCTTCCCTTTGGCCTTGCCCTGGCACCGAGAACGTTCACGAAATGCGTGGATGCAGCACTGGCCCCCTTGCGGCTCCAGGGCATCCGCATTCTCAATTATCTGGACGACTGGCTCATTCTAGCCCAGTCCAGGGAGTTGGTTACCCACCACAGGGACACTGTTCTCCGCCATATTCAGTCTCTCGGCCTGAGGTTGAACGTGGAGAAGAGTGTTCTTACTCCAGCTCAGCACACAGTCTTCCTGGGTGTGCACATGGATTCCGTTCGTATGCAGGCCCGTTTGGCTCCTGCACGGATTTGCAGTTTGATGACATGTTTGGCCCGTTTTTCGCTTGGCCATCATGTTTCTGTGGGCACTTGCCGCAGGCTTCTGGGCTTAATGGCCGCAGCCTCCCCTGTGCTACCCCTGGGTCTGCTCCACATGAGACCCTTCCTGTGGTGGATGAAGCTCTCAGGCATCCGGCCCACTGGGTCAGCCTTTCGCCTGTTGAGGGTGTCGGGCAGTTGCTCTCGCGCCCTGTCGATTTGGCGGGACCATCTCTTTCTTCAGAAAGGGGTCAGCATGGGTACGGTATTCCGTCGCCAGATGCTTACGACGGATGCCTCTCTAACCGGTTGGGGAGCAGTTTTCGAGGGCAGGCCAGCATGCGGGGTCTGGACGGGCGAGACCCTCGCTTGGCACATAAACTGCTTAGAACTGAGAGCCGTCTTCCTGGCTTTGCGTCATTTCCTCCCTTTTCTAAAGGGTCACCATGTCATTGTCAGGACGGACAACATGGCGGTAGTTTCCCATGTAAACCGGCAAGGAGGTTCTCGATCTCGCACCCTGGACAGGCATGCGCGTCATCTTCTATTATGGTCTCAGAGCAGGTTTCTTTCTCTGAGAGCGGTCCATGTCCCAGGGGTTCTGAACCTCGCAGCGGATTTTCTATCGAGGCAGAAACTCCAGTCGGGGGATTGGATGTTGAACCGTCAGACAGTTTCCCTGATCTGGGAGGTGTTCGGAAAAGCGGAGGTGGACCTCTTTGCCTCGCAGGAGTCATCCCAATGCCCGCTCTGGTTCTCCCTGAATCCTCCAGCTCCGTTGGGGATAGATGCATTCGCCCACCCTTGGCCAATGCAGAAACTCTACGCCTTCCCGCCCATCAAACTGATCCAGGCGGTCCTGGCCAGAGTGAGGGAGAGCGGAGTCCGCCTCCTTCTAGTAGCCCCATTCTGGCCGTCTCAGCCATGGTTTTCGGAGTTAATTCCTCTGCTGGAATCGCCTCCCTGGAAGATTCCAATCAGAGAGGATCTGCTTTCCCAACTTCAGGGCAGGATTTGGCATCCTCGCCCGGACATGTGGAAGCTGTACGTTTGGCCGATCAAGGGTCGTCGACTTTAGGCTTGGATCTCCCGACTGACGTTCAGGAGACCATCGCTAGTGCTAGAGCTCTTTCTACAAGGAGACTGTATTCTTCCAAATGGAAGGTTTTCGCGTCTTGGTGCTTGGCACGTGATAGGAACCCAGTTAACTGCCCTGTCGCTTCAGTGTTGGAGTTCCTGCAAGAGAGATTTTCCTCCGGGGCGGCGGCTACCACCCTCAGGGTCTATGTTGCAGCCATTGCGGCACATAGAGAGTCAGACGAGATTCCTTTGGGCAAATTGAGGTTAGTTTCGGCCTTCATGCGTGGGGTTAGGCGCCTGAAACCAGTTCGCTCCCCTAGAGTTCCCTCTTGGGATCTTTCTGTCGTCTTGGAGGGTTTAAAGGAGGCCCCCTTTGAACCCTTAGAGTCAGCTCCAGATCGGATTCTGACTCTTAAGGTGTCACTTTTGTTGGCTTTGTCTTCTTTAAAGCGGGTAGGGGACTTGCAGGCTCTTTCGGTTAGTGAGTCATGCTTAGACTTTGCTCCCGGGTTAGTCAAAGTTTCCTTGAGACCTAGGCCAGGCTATGTTCCTAAGGTTCTCTCCACAGCGTTCCGCTCTCAGGTTGTTAGCCTTAACGCTTTCCACCCTCCGCCTTTTTCCTCTGAGGAGGATAGGAAGCTTAATCTGCTCTGCCCGGTTCGGTCTTTGAAGTTTTATGTAGACCGCTCCAGCTGTTGGAGGAATCTAACCAGCTTCTGGTTTGTTTTGGTGCTGGCCGCCGTGGGCTTGCTGCATCGAAACAGAGGATTTCTCATTGGGTCACAGAGGCGATATCGATTGCCTACCAGGCGCGTGGTTTGCCTTCGCCTCTTGGCATTAGAGCGCATTCCACCAGGAGTGTGGCATCCTCTCAAGCTCTTTTCAGGGGAGCTCTATTAGAGGACATTTGTGTTGCGGCCGGATGGTCCTCTCCGCACACTTTTGTACGTTTCTACAATTTGGATCTTGACATGACCCCGGGTTCCCAGATTCTTTCTGTTTGAACCGTTTGTAGTCTTTATCTTTTGATACCAGTCATTGCAGCGCTCTTTGCTTGGCGAGTTTGGTATCCCGTTCCCACTGCGCTATCCGCAGCGTTGAGTGAACCTATGAAAGAGAACGTCTCTGGTTACTTACGTAACCTATGTTCTCTGAATAGGGAACGAGACGCTGCGTTAGCGGCCAAGCTCCTCGCGCTGCTGACAGTCTTCTTTTCGGCAGAGAAATCTGAGGGGAAGATGGCGCACGCGCGTATATGATTATGCGACGTAATTGCGTCGGGGCGGGGCTAGATTGCGCGAGCGCCATCAGCCAATGGATTGGCGTGATTCTATTGGGCTTCAGACAATCGGCATATTCAGAGAATATCCCACTGCGCTATCCGCAGCGTCTCGTTCCCTATTCAGAGAACATAGGTTACGTAAGTAACCAGAGACGTTTTTAGAGCAATTTAATGCCTTCAAGCAAAAGCAACCAGAGGAATCGTCAAGAAAAGTAAACGCCATTAAGACTTGCTTGATTTGAAAGGCATGAAGACACAACGTGAAGAGACTGTTTGTGAATATGCAGTAACTTGACCGCTACAGCTGGATCAAGGAAAACACCAGCACCTTTTCTGCAAAATGAGGTAAGTTAACGTTATGTTTACGTTAGACTTCATGTTTTTGTTTTAGATGACACACACGACTTTAAACCCCAAATAATGAAAGATTAATTTACATTTAGCATGACTGCTATTATCTAAACTTCTGCCTGTAATGTTAGTCATTCTTTCCCTTCTCATTTGTTCATTTCATAATGTTTCTGTTGTTTTCTTATCTATTAACAGGACTTTTCTGCTGTAGTTTACATCCCAAGCACCACCTGCATGCTTCTTATGGGTTTGTATTTTGTTTTATTAGCATTATTATGAATGTTCAATACTGGCAAAACGCATTTGAATTTAAAGTCTGAAGAATAAAGTCTGTTTATAGAAAAAGTTGGTTGCTGAATACCCCCTTCAAAGATATTTAGGTTTACATGGTCGGTAGAAATACAAATTGTATAGGGAAGATTTAAACAACTATGTTTAAAGCGTTTTTTTGAAGTGATCGTGTTATGTTTTTCATTTAGTAATATCTTTTTCTGTTTCAGGTGGTGGACATTCAGGGTTGCTGTCATTCAAGAAGTTATTGACCACATCTCCTACCCTATTGAGGCAGTAAGATGCAAAATACCTGAAGAATATGGCACTTATCCTGGAGTTCATATAAAGGTAAGCAACACATTTTTAATCAAATTATTTATAGAACATGTTATTGTGATTCTGTTTATTTAGTTGAAAATAATGAAACATATTAGAATGTAGCCTATAGTTGAGCATGCAGACAAGCTGACATGACATGCAATTGGAGTCCACTGGAAAAAAGTCTTAGCATTTTTTAAACAGTGTTTGAATTTGAGAGAATTAGGAATGGCTGATAATTTTTTTATAGTTGATAATTTAGTGAATGTAAAATACTGTACATTTGTTTGTCAACCTCAACCTGGTCTACATGATACTTTGTAGTTAATTTTCCTTCATTTAATTTCTTGTGTAGCTAAAAATATATCCTTTTTTTTTTTTCATTTCCAACTTTCCTGTGTAGAAATCCTGAACGAAGGTTGAAAAGGCTGAGATGAAGGAAACGTCCCCATTCCTCCAAAACTGCTGAAGTTCCTGTATGAACAACTTCGAAAAACCAGGTAAAGTTTCAAGCTTTTGTCAAATCTCAAAATGGAACTTTAACAGAACATACCGAAAAATGAACGTTTTTCATGCAAGTTGTTAAGATCTTAAAGGGATAGTTCACTTTGAAATACATTTTTGAAATCTTTTATACCTCAAGGACATCCAAAATGTAGGTGTCTTTGTTTCCACAGTATTTTCAAGTTTGATATTTTTAGGTCAAACCGTTCTTGTCTGTCAGTCATATAATGGAGGTTTATGGGGTTCACCCTGGGTCCCCCTAAAGAGCATGCACAGAGACGTCCAAATTAAACATGATTTAATGACTCGTGAATGTAAGTACACATTGATGGCCTAAAACACAAAACGAGCGGTTTGTGTGAGAAAACGAACAGTATTTAAATTGTTTTTACCTCTTGTAATCACAGCCACGTCCAAGTGATCTGAAGGATCACTTCCGGCGCACTTGCGCAGACCGAAGCGCCCTGTGCCTTCAGATCACTTGGACGTGGCTGTGATTACAAGAGGTAAAAACAATATAAATACTGTTCGTTTTCTCACACAAACTGCTTGTTTCGTGTCTTAGGCCATCTATGTGTACTTGCATTTAGGAGTCATTGAATCATGTTTAATTTGGACTTCTCTGTGCATGCTTTTTCAGTTTCACTTTTTCAGGGTGAACCCCATAAACCTGCATTATATGACTTACAGACAAGAACGGTTTGACCTAAAAATATCAAAATTGAAAATACTGTGGAAACAAAGGCACCTACATCTTGGATGCCCTAGAAGTAAGATAAAAGATATCAAAAATTAATTTCAAAGTGAACTATCCCTTTAATGAAATCTGAGAGCGTTCTCTCCCTCTGACAGCTCTCCCTCTGCTTACTCCTACCACTTCAAGCTTCAGAAAGATAGTAAGATCATAATAAAAGTAACACAGTGTTAGAGTCCTATCCAAATGTGATGCGATAAGATTCTAGCAACAAAACATTTGTGCCACTTTATAAATTTGGGGTTAAACCACTGGAGTCACATGGATTACATTTGTGTCTATACCTTTCTGAAACTTGAAAGTGGTAGTTGCCTCAGCTGTCAATGGAAGGACAGAAATCTCTCAGAGTTCCTCAAAAAGATCTTCATTTTTGTTCTAAAGATGAATGTAACTCTTGTGAGGACGTGTGGAACAACGTGCGTGTGAGTAATTACAAATTAAAATTTTGGGGTGAGCTTATGCTTTATGTAATATTGTGTTCTCTTACAGAAAAATGGCATCAACACTAACATTTCACTCTTCTTTAATCCCTAGCTGGCATCTTGGGGAGGACGACCTCGCATCCAGTATGCTGCTGTGGGTGCCGCAGGATTTCGAACTCATTCGATCACTTGTCTCTATGCTTTTCGAACTGTGGCGACTAATCGTGCCTTGCTGTGGGTCAAGCCGCTGGATCTTCAGATCTTCTTCGATTTGCTTAATCCATCCTTTTTTTGGGTGCAATGCGCTGGATTCTACACTGGGTTGGCCGTTTCCTCCAGAGGACTTGTGTGGTATTCAATTTGCATCCATTCTGCATGTGTCCAAACATTTCACTCTATTGACTAGAAGTCTAAAGCAATTTTTAAAAGCAGAAGCCTTATCTTCATTGCATTTTGTTTGTTTCTGTATTGTATCGTATTCTATTAGTATTGCATTTGAAAATGTTTTGAATCTTGACTTTCACAGTTTATGAAGGTTTTTTTTTTCCATTTTTTTAAAATAATTTTGTGAGCTATTTGGTACAACACCAATATTGTGCAAGTACCTGCTCGTTTTCTTTTTTTTTTTTTCATTTCTCCCATGTTTGTTTAATGTCTTAACTTTTTCCACAATACAAGCACTTTTTTATGGTGCTTTGCACATTGTTAAATTGTGTGTGTCTGTCTGTGTATATCAATTTTTACCCATTGAATGCGTTTTAAGAATGTTTACATGAAATTTTTACAGAAAAATAAAACATGTTCAATATGTATATATTGTTCTTGAATTATTTGCTACCAAAATATATGCTATAAAAAATATAAATTTCTGTATAAGGATTATCCGTGAATAGTACAGAAAATACGGAATTTTCCATTTTAGGTTTGACGGAAATGTCCGTCAATGGTACAGAAAAACTCATGTAAATCTACGGAAATTTCCGTTCTAAGGTTTACGGAAGTGCCCGTACAAAAACGGAAAAAGTGCTGGTAATTAATTACCAGCACTTTTTCCGTTTTTTAACGGAGATTTTTTTAACAGTGTAGCGCAAACTGTGCTGGTGGGTTTATCTGCCGACCACAGCATGGGATCTGACGCTATTATTATTGTATCGGAGGTGTGATTTTTCTATGGCAGAATCTGTTCAAATACGCAGTCGCACTGCAGGTTTCAACAGGAAATTGAGCGGGAACGGTATCGGGTTGGAATAACTGGCCAGGTGGTGAGCATGAAATGAACTTATTTTTTTGAACATTATGAGATATTTGGGGGCTTTAGGGTTCTCAACTGGAGCTTCTGGAAAACATGGATGTTCTGACTAAGATGTGTGTGAATTGAAGTATTGAAGCATTTTCAGAGTCATATAAAAACATTACAGATTCAAATCACACATTAAAAGGCGTTTTTGAGAGGTGTTACAGTACTTATTTTTTAACTTCAGTAAGTTCTAAAACTGTCCGAAAGCACTTAAATAAATACATATTTTGACCTACAGTAGAGTAGCCTAGGCTATTTTCTATGGAAGCTTGAGTCCACCACAGAATAGAAAATAGAAAAGGTAATTGCGACTTTTTATCACGACTTTTTATTGCGAGAAAAAATTCAGAATCATGAGTTTATATCTCGCAACTCTGACTTCATAACACGCAATTGTGAGTTTATATCTCGCAACTGACTTTATAACACAATTGTGGGTTTATTTCTCGCAATTCTGACTTTATAACACGCAATTGTGAGTTTATACCTCGCAACTCTGACTTCATAACACCCAATTGTGAGCTTATATCTTGCAACTCTGACTTCATAACACAATTGTGAGTTTATATCTCGCAGTTCTGACTTTATAACACAATTGTGAGTTTATTTCTCGCAATTCTGACTTCATAACACGCAATTGTGAGCTTATATCTTGCAACTCTGACTTCATAACACAATTGTGAGTTTATATCTCGCAATTCTGACTTTATAACACAATTGTGAGTTTATATCTCGCAATTCTGACTTTAAAACACAATTGTGAGTTTATATCTCGCAATTCTGACTTCATAACATGCAATTGTGAGTTTATATCTCGCAACTCTTACTTTATAACATGCAATTGTGAGTATATAACTCGCAATTCTGACTTCATAACACGCAATTGTGAGTTTATACAGGTGTATCTCACAATTCTGACTTTATAACACAATTGTGAGTTTATATCTCGCAATTCTGACTTTATAACACGCAATTGTGAGTTTATATCTCACAACTCTTACTTTATAACACAATTGTGAGTTTATATCTCACAATTCTGACTTCATCACATGCAATTGTGAGTTTATATCTCGCAACTCTTACTATATATCACGCAATTGTGAGTTTATATCTCGCAACTCTTACTTTATAACACGCAATTGTGAGTTTATATCTCACAACTCTTACTTTATAACATGCAATTGTGAGTTTATCTCGCAATTCTGACTTTATAACATGCAATTGTGAGTTTATATCTCACAACTCTTACTTTATAACACAATTGTGAGTTTATATCTCACAATTCTGACTTTATAACGCAATTGTGAGTTTATATCTCGCAACTCTTACTTTATAACACACAAGTGTGAGTTTACATCTCGCAATTGTGACTTTATACCTCACAATTCTGACTTCATAACACGCATTTGTGAGTTTATATCTCACAACTCTTACTTTATAACACGCAATTGCAACTTTATATCTTGCAATTCTGAGAAATAAAGTCAGAATTGCAAGATGTAAACATGCAATTGTGAGATAAAAAGGAGCAATTATCTTTCAAATGTTTTATTCTGTAGCGGAAACAAGCCTCGATAATTTTCAGTTTAAGTTACCACCTTAATACTCTTGCTGCAGTATACTAGTATGTAAACTTATTTCTAAATACCCAAATGACCAACAAAAGTTTACACATTGCATCCCATAATGCACATGCGTACAGCTTGATGTTCCTTTTCCCCCCACACAATTTAATTCAACATATTCTCTTTGCTAAGTTGTTTACTATGTGTAGATAGTTTGGCTAAAAACATGACTATGAAAACAAGAAAATACTGATTAAGGGATTTTTTTGTTTGTTTTGGATAAAATAGGCAGTATACAGCACTCAAGTGATATCCCCAGTGACTTACAGTCACTTTAAAAGCCCACTTGTACCATCACCAGAACACAACTGTTCACTTAGCCGAGCTGAAACCCATGATGTGTGCCAGAGCTGTGTCTCCAATGCAAAAAATGTCTTCAGAATGACATACTTCATGCTAACTCCTGCCTAGACTTCAGCTGCTGTCAAATATAACAACATAATATTCCTATCTATGTCGACACTGTCACTGTCAACAGACGAGCTAAAATACACTGAGAATCTGTTGCTCACAACAAAACCCAACCCTCAACTCTCATCCCAGAAACAGCTGTGGCTTGATCTGATCTTAGCAGAGCATTAATCAACACAGATTTGAAATCATAGCTGCTTAAAATAAATATAAAATATTCAACAAACCGTGTGGGTGGTTGCCAGAGTGTTGCTTTTCGGTTGTTAGGGTGTTCTGAGTGGTTTTCAATACATTGCTATATGGTTACTTGTGTTTTCTAAAGGATTTAGTGCACTGTGATTGCTAAGGTGTTCTTTTAGCACATTGCTATAGACCATTTCACAAGATGTAAACAACACTGGTCCAGAAGAACTTCCTGTTTCAGTTTTTTAACACTACATAAAAGCTGGGATAAAATACAACCAACAGAACATTTAAAACTGAATCAAAAAGTTAAACAAACATCTTTAAGATGTTTTCTTTACATGTGAAATAAAGAAAACAGTTACAAACTGAAACAGGAAGTGTTTCTGGACCAGTGTTGTTTACATCTTGTGAAATGGTCTATATTGCATATAAGGCGTACTGAGTAGTTTTAATGCATTTCTATGCAATTGCTTGTAGTTTAGAAGTAGATTTAGCATATACACAACTGCAAGTGTGTTTTGAGTTGGTTTATTATATCAATATTTGGTTGCTACTGTTCTCTGAGTGGTTTTAGCACATCACTATGCGGTTGCTAAGTGGATTTAGCACATTGCTATCTGTTAACTAGTGTGTGTGTTTTTTTTTTTTTTTTTACCACACTAGTATTTTTCGAGACGTTTTACACAGTTGCAAATGTGTTTGAAGTTATTTTAGTGTAATGCTATATGTTTGAAGGGGTTGCTAATTTGTTTTCAGTAGGGGTGTGATGAGACGAGATGAGATCTTTGCACAATATTTGGTAGAAATCCTCAATGACAAAATTCATGAATAGTCTACATGTGCATTTTGAAATGTTTTAACTAACTGTGTATGGAGTGGTTTTAGCACTATGTATTTACTTATGCGTTTGAAGTGAATTGAATGCATAGATATGTGGTTACTAGTGTGTTCTGAGTATGTTTACCACTAGTGTTTTCACATACGCAGTTTCAAATATGTCTTGAGGTGCTTTAGCATAGCGCTACGTGGTTGCTACAGTGCTCTGGTTTAGCACATCACTGTGTGGTTGCTAATGTGTTTGGGGTGAATTTAACGTGTGTTCTGACTATTTTTACCACAGAGGTATTTTCAGAGCAGTTTTAATGCATACACCAAATATGTTTTGAGGGTTGTAGTGCATCGCTATTTGGTTGCTACTGTGTTTGGAGTGGTTTTAGCACATCACTATGTATTTACTAATGCGTTTGAAGGGAATTGAACGCATAGATATGTGGTTACTAGTGTGTTCTGAGTATGTTTACCACACTAGTGTTTTCACATAAGCAGTTTCAAATATGTCTTGAGGTGCTTTAGCATATCGCTACGTGGTTGCTACTGTGCTCTGAGTGGTTTAGCACATCGCTATGTTGTTGCTAATGTGTTTGGGGTGAATTTAACGTCTGTTCTGACTATTTTTACCACAGAGGTATTTTCAGAGTAGTTTTAATGCATACACCAAATATGTTTTGAGGGTTGTAGTGTAGCTTTCGCTATTCTGTGTTTGGAGTGGTTTTAGCATCTATTTACTAATGTGTTTGAAATGAATTGAACGCATAGATATGTGGTTACCATGGTTTAGCACATTGCTGTGTGGTTGCTAATGTGTTTGGGGTGAATTTAACGCTATTTTTTACCACACTTCCATGTCGTTGTTAGTATCTTTTGAGTATTTAGCACATAGGTAGTTGTAAGTGTCCTTTTTAGCACATTGCTAGGTTATTCTTTTGTGGTCAAATTCAAAACAGAAAGAGCTACCTCAAGTAATTTATCACAAAAAACATGCTCGCTACATACACTGAGAGAACAATTCACCATAGCCCTACTGACAAGTGATATTTCTGAAAATGGACCCCGAACATGTTTGAGATGTGTGCGTGTCACAAGCACAATGTGTCATTGCTGCGAAATCTAATTTAACACAAAGAGTAGCAGCAGGAATCATGTTCTAAGGTTCACAAGTGTTTTCGAGCTAGCTAGCGCATACGATGTGCTAACAATGGGCTTCAGCCATGTTTTGACATGTTTAAATGGGAAATGACAATTAGAGCGAGTTGGTGAACGTCCTCAGAGTAAGGCGCTGGATACGAGACGACATGAGCACTGGGAGATTTCATCTTCTATTCTGAATCGTATCCCATGATTCCTTGCAGCTGAAAACAGCAAAGAATCAATGAAAAATTGATGTCTGCCTGTGATTTCACACAGATACGAACCCGAAACCATGGATAACAGACTTGTTTCTGCCTGCTTTCTCTT